TTTTTATATTATCAGTAGTTCACCTTTTTTACGAGGGGCCTTTCGCCATTAAGCTTTAGCTCCTAAATAAATCAACCTATTCACATGAAAAATATTACGTATTCAAAAGGTTTGAAATCAAATGCGCTTCTTTGTTGCAAAAGACTGCAATTGAAGATAACTATGCGGATTTGGTTGAGAGCTTGATTGTCGATGATCAGGAGTTAGTCAAAATTGTACAGCAACAGGATTAAAACTAGACAAAAACGACCTGCAAAAGGCCATAATACAACAGCAATAATACATTGCTTATATCGATAAGCAATCTAAGAAACTAGCGGAATCATTGATTACAATACGATATCATTGAGCTCGCTTTATCAATGTCTCAAGATAAAATTAGCCACTTGAGTACTGATCAGTCAAATCATCTGCAGCAGTTGTGAATGTTAACCATCCTGTGACAAAGTACAAGGATTTTTGAAAATAAATGTTATTTGGTAGTCCTGAGCAAACGATGACTGTGTTTTTTGAATATCGCGCGCTTATTATGATCACTATAGTGACATGTGATAGGTCAATTTGAAGAAAATTTTATGCTGCATCACTCAGTTTACTTAATTTTGTGTTATAATTATGTCTGGAATTGAAAAACACGCTCAAGCCGTTGAGGCCATAACAACACTCTACGACCAGCGAAGTTACGTCCGCGCCTGCTGGAGACTTGGTCAAATGCCATCCAAAGTGCACCAGGATTTAAGAACAATATGTGGTAACAACGCCCTTGACTTTATATCCATAAAATATTTGATGAATAAGTTCGAGAAGGGTGATCTTGGTATTACCGTTTAGCACATTCGTGGCATGTCGTGGATCCAAAGCTAAACCAGGTTGATTTGAATCAATCTTGGGTGCGCACCATTATACTAGAACGACATATAAAATTTTACTACTCTGCTGAGGTTCAATCAAGATGTGAAATTAAAATGAAATTCAACTCTTATTTTATTTTTAAATTTGTTAAAGATGAATGAAATTGTGACATTTAGTGGAATTTATATTTTTTTGTACTACCAAACCTTGGAAAAGATAACGCCTTATCAGTAGTCAAGTAGTATCAATATCTTGAACTATTGATCTAGGGAGGTCAAAGAGATGACTGATATCGAAAATCCGTAAAATTAATGAGTCCTCATTTCTCGCGAGATCATGTCCTGGCTCACTCGGATTATTACGAATTGACGCTCAAAATTTCAAAAAAATCACTTGGGAGTTTTACACTTGTCTGATTCTGAATAAAGGGACTGAGTTAGTGCTAGCATACAAAAAATTACTTAAAAGCGTATGATCTACCACAACTAACCTAAGCGGTCACACAAGTCGTCCAGAGTTTTCGGCTTCATCTCACTCCCTTTGAAGCTGATTTGTGCAAATCTCAGATCATACTTAAATACATTCGCTCATTCAGAAAACTAATTTGCGAGTTTTCAACTAAAATTTGCAAATTCAATACTTTCAAACTTGGTATTTTCTAAACATTGAACGTAATTTTTAAGTTGTTACAGCAAGAATTTTGATGATCCAAAAAAGCATGAAAACCAAAAGACTGAATCAAAGTATTTAATTATCGGTTAAATATCTTGTCCACAGAATATGATTTTAATGTTTCTCTGTAAATTAATCAGATAAAGCAAATAAATGTTACAATGTTGATGAGCGTTGAACAGCATGAATGGCAACCTTGCAAATATTGAATTGCTTCTAGTGATGTGATTATAAAATCTTTTACAATTAGTATGCAAATATTGATCAAGAGACTTGGTCAATATTGAAAATGATTATTACTATTATTAGAAGGTAATAATAGTTGCTGCTGTAGTAAATAATAGTATTAATGTTTGTAAAAGTCAATGAGGAATGAAAAGATTAAAAGGAATGGGTAAGATGATAACAGTGGATAAACAATGGATGAAGAAAATGGATTGAACGGTTTTGCCTCTGTTGATTCAGGATGAAGTTGGCTAAGTAAATAGCAACATGAGGATGACGTGAAGGAAGAAGAAGAAGAGGAAAAAGTAGGCTAAAAATGAAGAAAATAACAAAAAGCAAAGTGAATTGAATGTTTTACATGGAGCTTTAAGCTTGCCAATCGGTGAGCAAAATAATAGAATCTTGTTTTCGTCTCTCTCTTCTTGTCTTTTTTCGATGGAAATGTGATCTTATCATGGATAGATAAATCAAACTTTGTGATGAAAAGGGAAGAAGGGAAAGATTGATCAACAGGAAGATTGAGGAAGATGATGAGCATTAAGACCCTGAAACTTGTCTCATCTTCATGAAGCTTTGAACGAAAAAGAAAATTTACTTTTTAAAGTCAAAACCAAGTGAAAAAAAGGTAAAGTAAAAAAATGAAAAACCTTTTTGCTTCTCGAACATTAATCTTGAAATAGTCAGACCCAAGTGAATAGTAATATTTTACAAACAAAATAACCATGATAGATTTACCCTAAGGGTTTCCATGTAACCTTTAATATTCTTTGTCAGGGTTTCAATTTTTCTTCCAACATGAATAACAAGGTAAACAAAATTGTGAAAATGTGATAACAATTTTCTTCTTTTGCCACTTTACTTGAACAAAAAAATATGAAAAGATGTAACTCAATTGTTGAAGATGGCAATTATGGGAACAGAGTGAAATGCCGATAAACTTGTTAGTCTTTTCATGTCGAGTTGAACATAACTTGAACAAAGACGAAAAATGTTGACTTTGAGCGATTCAAATCAATTAGGTGTCATCAATGAATTTTCACTTTAAATTCACTTTTCTCGTGAAATCAAAGTGAAAACGCAATGAATTATCGACTAGAAATAAAAACATTTCAACCAAAGTATTCGATTAACAATGTTTACTGCGAACAACAATTTTTAATATTTTTCAACGCCAGTGAGTAAACCCTCGAAAAATTGTCATCGTGTCTTTCGGAATTCGAATTACTCGAACTTTTTTATTTTCATTCAAAAGTTTTTAGTTCTTGTGTTTGGACACACAAATTTCATAAGATTTGAGTCTAACTTCAAGGGAAGACTTAGAGAGAAGTGAGAGATGCAAAGGTGAAGAACTGAGTGTTTTATTGTCTGAAAAACCATGTCTTATATTCGTGGTGATGTGAGAGCTGCGAGAATGCTATTGGAACCTTAGACGGTCAGAAAAAGTGTCGTTATCATGTTTCCCCCCTTTGGACTCAATGTAAGGTCAAGAAAAGGAGAAGAAGTGAGAAGGACGGACTAGCTGGTTGACATTGAGTCACAAATGTTTTAACCAAAAAGGCTACAGTCGATTCTTTATTTGATATCGAACCGCAAATATACTTGACAACTTAATAGTAATCATTTTGTCTAACTCCAAGTGCTTTAATTGAAATCCCAAAAGATTCTTATTTTGTCTTCGCTTGGAATTTTAGTGAAATGAATTGTCATTTGAGATGTTTTTTGAGTCAATTCAATGAAAGGCAAAAGCGTTTCAATATTTTTCCTTCGTTCAATTCTGCATTCGTTACGAGATTGCTTTTGCATCTAACAATTCTGAAGGGAAATCAGACAAATCTTTTGACAATCAGTTCTCTTGATGATCGTTTGCATTGATTAAAAGCAATATCAATTACTCAATTGTTAAACTTGTAACTTGGATAAAAGAAGAAGAAGAAACTTGTCAAACTGATTGATTTGAGTTTAAAAAATTTGGTTACAATTCATTAATCAAGATGAATTGGAATAAATCTTGAAACAACTTTTTTAAATAACATATTCATCTCCATTTAACGAGTCGACTTCAGATAAAAGCTTCTAATATTCAAGGTAAAACATTTTTGCAGTTTGAATATCAAAAGATTCTCATGAAAATGAAGGAAAGGAAATGATGAAAATTGACGATAAAATGATGAATAATTTTCAAATGTTTTACCATTCAAAGCTTTTTGCCAACTCTTCTCAACTAATAGCCAAAAATTGAAGTGAAACATAAAACGATTAACGTTTTAAAACTAAAGCTTTTGATGGTTGCAATATCATTTTGCTTTTACCATGAAAGGTGGAAAATGATGATGAATATGAAACAGGATAAAGTGTTGAGCCAGATAAGACATGATTAGACACTGAGAAGCATTCAGAGAATATGGAAAAAGATTGTCAAAATTTTTCTCTTTACATCAAACTTTGAGAGCTTCAAAGATCCATTTCAATCAAATTCATGAACATTTCAATCTGTAAATAGAACATCATTTTGTTTGTAATTTGAGTTTTCAAATTGTATTGAAAAGTAATTGAACAGTTTGAAATTTTTCTTTCGATTCTTTAAAATCTGGAATACAAAATGCTTTTCAGATGAAATGAGATTTGATTTTCAACAGACTTGAACCTTTTGCAAAATTGTATTTTTCATGAAATTGAATTGTTAAGATAATGACAATTGATCTGATGCCTGCAGGGTGAGACAGAAAAGTAATGATCAACAAGTTTCTTTGCTTCCAGTTGCAGCCATTTCAACAATGGTTAGGAAATTAAATGTTATACAATTTTCAATAATTGAATTTAGCAATTCGTTTGATGGGAGATTTGTAAAATAATCAATTTTGTCATGATTATATTCAGTAAGGCTTAATCTTTGACTCTTCTTCTGGTGAGATGAACCACATTACTTGCTTGATTGCTACTGATTTTCACTGTAAATTCAATGCTCTTTTGGAATAGTTGACTACTAATGTGAGCTGAATTATCTGGAGAAATGTTAATAGAATTGGAAAAGTGATGAAAGTGATTGGTATAAAATATTGAATACAATAAAAAGGTTAACAGTTGAATGAACAATGTTGAATGGGTTGATGGGAAAAGGTTGAAACTTGATTGCTCTTTTGATTTTACGTTTTTCTCTGTGAATTTGCAATGAGTTAACCGAGTCTAAACAAATTGAGGTTAAACTTTGGTCTTTGGGTTAAACAAGGTTTGAATATGGGAATAAAACTTACTCCTTGCACTTTTTGAAATCTCTTCGAGAAGCCTTTTGTAATCCGTTTCGGGATCAGTTTGATCAAAATCTCGATGGAAAGGTCGAGTTCCGAGAATGGCAAAAACTGCTGCTAATGTGAAATAGCAAGCTGAATTGCCTTTGGTTCGATCCTTGAAATTGTGATACAACATTCCGAGAACTTGCCAGTGAAATTTGCGTAAAATTTGAAGCAATATAATACCAATCTGTGAATAAGAACCATTCATTCGAGTCAATGTTCGATAAGTGGGAAATCTGTGGTCAAGATTGTCATTTTGTCCACCCGAGGTTAGTAAAGGAATATCCCAGACGGCAGAGTAACGGGCAACCGGAGCCAAAACATAGGGACACATGGGACCAAAAAAGACGTCGGCGTTTCCTTCAATGTAAAAGTCGAAAGCAGCCAAGGGACCAGTGGTTGATGAACAATCTGAATCTCGGTAAAGTATGTTGATGGACCGATTGGCAATTGCACTAAGATTGGGAACTTTTTGTAATGATTTAACTGCGTAAATGATGGAAGGTAAAATTTTGTTCAACGAGTACGGAAGTGAATCGTTGTTTGGTGCTAAAACGGCTATCGATATATTACGAGTTGAAAGATCACGACATCGAGGGCAAGAGTGAGGTCCAACTCTATGTTTGTACCGGTGATGGTGAACAATGTCCTCGGTAGAACCAACCAAACCCAAGCGAACTCCACTTGAGATTGAAAACAACAGTAATGCCCATGTCGATAGAGTCAACAGAAACAGGGTCAACAATTGGTGCGGTGACATGATGGACCAAACGACTAAAAATAAATGAACGGTAAACAGACGATACAAGAGTAAAATTGAGCCAATGGTCTGACTTTTCTTGTCCAATAGTTACTTGTTGATATTAAAAGTACATAACCACAAAGAGAGATGCAGCCATTAACAAAATTTAAAATAACTATTAATTGAACAGCATAAATCACAAAAAATGTTGATTGTTAACATTTCAAAAATTGTTGGTCTGTCTAAAAAGATGGTAAAATCACTTTGTTACACGAGTTGAAAATGGTTTTGTTGACTTTTTTATTCACTTGTTTCCCTCCAAAGGATTTTTCACACTTTGACTCATACTTTTTCCATCACTTTGTTTCTCGTCTTAAACCATATTTTAACATCTTTCGTCCGATTGTCTTGAAAACTTGATCAATTTTTTCGTTTCTTTTCACATTGTTTTATATTTAATTGTACGTGTTTATTGTCAATGGTAAAATAACAATTAAAAGCTAAAATTGAATTGTGTAAAAAGGATTAAACGGTACTTTTGTTGGCTCAATATCGATGAGATTAATTTTTTGTTTCTCTCTTCTGTGTCTTTCACTCTTGCTGACAAGTTTACTTCTTACAAAGGTAAAATGTTTATCCTACAAAAGCTCAGCATCAACTGAACACTCCATGAATAGTTATAGGATTTCTTTACTCAATATAAAGTCTCACTGAAACTCTGTGCTGCCTTACCAATCCAATTTGAAATCACACAGAATCCTTTTGCTGGCAGTCTCACACAACGTTAAATACTTAGCTTTTCTCATCAAAATTCCAATATTTTACACACAACTTTGCTATTTTAACCTGGTTGTACCTTGATAATTGCCTATTTTTATACAATAAAATTATATCAACTGCCAAAAGGCCAATGTTTTTCGACTTTTCAAAAGCAATTAAAAATGGAAATTCTAAACTGATTTGAAAAAGTCTAAAAATTGCAAATTGTTTCATCAATTTATTTTCAATGGTTTAATGTTTCAAATTTACCGGATAAATTAATCTTCATGCACAGTTTGTTATTACTCAAGAGATGGCGTAACCTACTGATCTTGTCGTCAACTGTTTCCAGAACTAAAATGAATATTAAAAATTCAATATTCATTTCAATGATGAGGCGAAAAGACATCATAGAATTATGTAAAGTTTTAAGTTTTAACGAAAAAGGGATTCAGTGATAATGATGGTCTAATAACAATATAAGCAGAAAATGAAAGAAAAATATTCTCTCAATAATTGAAGCAAAGTTTAGAAAAATTTCATCCTTGCGACACTGACGACATTGCTTTTTACTCTGAAAAAGGTGATGATGAGAATGGCGAGGAAGAGAGCAAAATGATCATTTCTTCAAACACACTTGTGATTTAAAGTCATTTTCAAGTCAAGCCTTTGCAAGACAACATTTAATCCATATGAATAGTTGAGTCGACCAATGATTTTATTCGATCTTTTTCTCTTTTCGCCTTCGATTTCTTGCTTTCATCAACGTTGCTTTTTGGTTCAAATCACACTTGTGCACCTTTATCGCTCTTGTACACGCAAATTTCAATTTCTCGCGAAACTCTCATCTTTTCAATGAAACACTGATTATTGTCATGCAAACCTTTGAATAAGGTAAAGCAGCTCTTGAAGGTTTTTGCTTCCACTTTTTCAGATCAAAGTTGATTCAATTTTTTTGCAAGGAAAATAATTGTTAGTCTTTTTTCTCACTTTTCAACTTTTCCTCGTCAGTGTTGAACCTTTTTGTGATTACACCAACAATTCAAATACCATCATCATTTGAATACATCAAGTGCTCAAAAAACTGGTAAAGATAGATGTTTATTGACATTGCTTTGTGTGTCAAAAGTATCTTTAAAAATTCAATTGTCGATAATCCAATGTGTATAATGTATCCATTTGTAATGATTGAAAAGTTTACCTTGAACGAATCAAACTTTTACCTTTTCCCAATTTTCGTTCATTTTCAAAATTCTTTACTTTTTGTTGCTTCCAAATGATACCGATTCATGATTATCTAATAATTATCCAAATTGATCAATAACTTATCAATGAAATTGAAAAGATCTTTTTGTATCAATAATGAAACTGTTTTGTTATGAAAACAAAGAAACGAAAAAACCTCGAAAAGTTGATGGAATAATGAAAGGCAATTGAAATGGAGAAAAATATTGACATAAATGTTGATATAAATGATTTGGAAATTATTTTCCAATCCAATCAAACTCATGAAGATAATTCAATGGCTTTCAATCCTTAATGGATCTTGTCGAGATAACAAGTGACACCTAATGTCTCAGAATGCAACTGAAATAACATACATTATGCATGATATACTCGCATGAACAAGTTGCATGGCCTGAAGTTTCAGTTTGCTCAGTAAGCAAGAAATTTCTCAACTGTCAAGACACATTCTTAGGCGAATCGGACAACCAGAGGCTGAGTAATAGCCTAAACACATAATGAAAGTAATAGAGGAAATAAGTAAAACGGTTTTCATTAATCTTTGCCATTGAAAGCTATTTAGAGTCGAGTCTTCTAGAGTTATTGTGGATCTCAACTAAAGATTCGGACATTTCTGAAAATTTCTTGCTTACTAACAAGCAAAAACTTGAGTCCATTCAGCTTGTTTCAAGGGAATGTATCATGCATAATTCATGTTATTTCAGTTGAATTCTGAGCCATCAGGTGTCACTTGTTATCTCGACAAGAACCCATTAATGGTTGCAAGCCATTGAAGATATTAGCAAATACAGGTATTTCAATGGATAAAATGAATTATTCAATACAATCGGATGCTCGCTTGAAAAAGGTAAATAACCAGTTCTGTATCATAATATGTATCCTTAATATGTAATATGTAATATGCCCTTTCTTAATATGTATCTTAATCGTGTTGATTAAGTTCCACTTAAACGAGTATTATTAACTCTGTCATTACAATAATGATTTGATTGATTGTGACATTTGAGATGTAAAGGCAAACAGTAAAGAGAGTTAAACAAAAAGAAAAGGCAAAAGCTAAAATCTGATTAATTAACATGATACAATCAATTGACAAAAATGACAAAACCCAATCTATCAATCAATTAATTAAATAATCAATCACTTCTCTGGTTTCAATACAAATAGTTAAACAGGGCAACAAAATACCAAAACATAGATAACAAACAATGACAGAAACCAGAATCTAAACCCAACTGTTTTCTCGATAAGAAAATGTTTAATGATTAAAATTGTATTAGGAAGCAACAGGCATCAAGCTCGCGACAATTAAATTTATTGTTGCAATCAAAGTTGATATTAAATTGATTATCTATGAATGTCATGTTAACATGTTTATGATTAGAATAAAGAAATTACATGAAAGTGTTTACAAAATGTTAACAGCAAGTTAACACTTTAATCAATGCAATGATGATCTTTCAATGATACCATTTAATCACAATAACAATAAGCATCTTTACATCAATTAACCAGTCAACCTTACCAAGGATGTTGTAGGTTGTTCACAAGTTGATAAATATCAACTGTGACAAGATGAACACTTATGAGCAAAAATGTTAAAGGAAAGCTCACAATCGAAATTGCAATTAAAGAGAAAAGTTAATGACGTTGAATGTTAATCAATAGCACAATTTAATCGTATAATAAATGCATTGTTAAATGATTGAAAGATGAAATGTTTAAGAAACAAAAAAACCTTGAATGGTAAAAAAGCCTAAGCTGTTCAATTTTTGGGTTAAACTCATGTGATTCTGTAAATCAAAAGTAAACACTCATCAAAAGCAAATTAAATTCATTTTTTCAGGGAAAAGCATTCTACTAATGAATAGTAATGAACATGAATCAGTCTTGTTGTTCAACAATTAGACGCTTTGTTTCCCTCTTTTAATCCAATTTGTTTACATTTAAATGATTACTTTTGATTGGTAACAATCAACTTTTTGAACATCGTTAAGTCAATGATATTAAACAGAATCCAAATGGTACAATTATCAATGGTTGATTCATTGAAGACCAGGAATCAACTGTTAATGATTGATGGACGAAGAGTGAAACGAGAAAATTGGAAAATCTTTTTTTTTTGAAAAATATTTTCAGAAGTTTCTCTCTTTTCTCAACAATTTGATCAACTTTAATTCATCATAATTACACACACATTTTGTCCTCAGATTTATTTTTACACTCATTTATTCAACTTAATACTCGGTTTATTGCTTTAATAACTGTGCTTGAGCGTCGGGTGACATTGATTGCCTTTATGAACTCGAGTTATGTTTAAAATGTTGGATAAAAATGTTGATTTGGTGAGAGAAGAAAATTTAGAAAAGTTGAATTTTCTGTAAGTTTGGGTAAAGATTGAAGTAACTTTAAGATGAGAGTAAAGATGATGAATAAATAACCATGGTTGTCAACAGTAGCCAAGTCTATTGATAGACTCGAGTAAAAGATAACTTGAAAAACCTTTTTTTTCTGATCAACAGTAGAAACAAAAATGTATTCAGATTGTATCAATTTTTCAAAAGCAAATGTTATTGGATGAGCAAGCCAATTGTTGAGATTTAAGTTGCTCTTTGCAATTGATAAGTGTTGATGCTTGCGCCAAATCAAGATTAAGAATAAGTTTATCGAGTGTAAAAATAAGTGTAAAGGTTGAACTATCTCGAGTATTTTTGCAATGAAAAAAGAGAGATTCAGTGATAATGATAATTTAATAACAATATAAATGTGATTCCAATGGTAATGATTATGTTGAAGATGAGCAGAAATGGTGAGATTCAAATTCACACCGGTGAACGAAAAAGTGAGAGAAGAAAAAAATTTTGAAGAAAAAGATGAAGCAAAGTCGAAAGAGAAAAATTGAGGAAAAGACAGAGAAATAGGAAGAGAAGAGAGAGAGATAATGATGAAGGAGGAGAGAGATAGTTGAGTGAGTTGAATGGTTGGGAGGCTGCTCAAGAGGTAAAGTTGATTGAGTCCGTTGATGCAACTCTCTGTCTCTGTCTCTGTTAGTTGTGTGAGTTTGAGAAAACATGAGAAAAAGGAAAGAAAAAGAACGAAGAAAAAAATGAAAGAAAAATATTCTCTGAATAATTGAAGAAAAGTTTCGAAAAATTTCATCCCTGCGACACTGACGACATTGCTTTTTACTCTGAAAAAGGTGATGATGAGGGTGATGAGGAAGAGAGCAAAATGATCATTTCTTCAAACACACTTGTGATTTAAGTCATTTTCAAGTCAAACCTTTGCAAGACAACATCCATTGGAATAGTCGACCAATTGCTTTTACCCAATCTTGCGCTCTTTTTGCCTTTACTTGCTTCCATCAACGTTGCTTCAAGTCACACTTGTGCACCTTTATCTTGTGTTGTTACTAATTGTTTGTTTGCTGCATCATCAGCTTGCGTGTTTCCTCTGTTTTCTTCATGTCATCAAACACATCAACTCATCACAATTTGTAAAGTTCAAGACAAGTGAGAAAACATTGTCAACTGTTTACTTTGACAACATTGGATTCATCAACAACAACGTGTTTCCAAGTTTAACTTGTTTAACGTTTTTCTTCCTTTCAATTTTGCAGTCTTTCCACTTTTTTTACCTGCAAAAACAGCAAAAGGTAAAAAACTCACAAAGTC